CTGCCATGTGATTGGTTGATTAGATAATTGCATTAATGAGAAATTGAACAGGTGTACCTAATAATCCTTTAGGTGAGTGTATTAGTGCCCATGAAATCAATATTCAATATTCATTTTTAAGTTGCTGCCCATTTGCAGAATATAAAGACGCAGAAATCTACCTGACAATGGTTTATTGTACCAGTTACATCAATTGGGCAATGAAAAAACAGTTTCCTTCAATCTGCACGTTATGATAATGACCAATATACATTGCACAATACTAACCATCAGAGTATTGTATGCAGATGGTTTCCTAGTCACTGGCATGCTGTATGTTATAATGAAACAATAACTCCATGTTGTTACTGCAGTTACGGTATTCTCGAGTATGTTAGTCAAATGACACTGACCAGTATATGTGAAGAGATGCTCTCCTCTGCGTAATGCTGGCATTAAAAAAACGCTGATAACGGCTTAGCTAGTAAGAGAACACATAAGGATTGCTTAAAAACAAACAAAATAATAGTTCACAAAACCGTAATCCCGATATAGTATAATTTTTATAAATTATTTTAATACAAGTAAACACTTGCCATCTGCAGTACTATTACACCTGAAGATAATGCATGTCCCAATGGATGTTAAAAATAAAGACTCAAGTATCTACATCATATATTTCATGGTATTATATAAGGATCAAAATAATGCCTGTGACCAATTTCTGCCAGTTTTCCTTTAAATGTAAAAAAAAAAAAAAAACACACACAGTGCAAATATTGGAGAGACACATTTGAGTGTTGATGTTAATTTGAAATTCACTTGAAAATATCTCCTCCGCCTTCATTGCCCTGTCGGAATGCCTAATTATCTCCACGTTCGCAGTCAATTCGCGGTAATAATCAAATAGGTATCCAATGATGACTTGTCTCCAAATCCATTGGATGATGCTGAGCTGTTGGGTCCAAATGGAGTCTGCCCAGCTTGGACAACCACTGCTTGGCCGCAAATCGGCCGCAGCTCAACCACCGAAGTTGCAGAGTCAGCCCTGGGCAGCAATATTCCATTTTCTGCCTGTGGTGTCCACTTTGGGTGGCCAAGAAGGGCCAGCTCAGAGTTTTTTCTTTCTGAGATCTATGGATCAGCCCATCTGTTTGCCACAGTGGGGGTGGGGCCAAACCACCACTGC